AAAATATGAGATCAAAAGGAAAAAAAAAGACCCAATCCACTTCTCATTTTTTTAAGACTATGGGATAAAACACAGATTACTTTTTCAGAAGCCGTTCATTTTACGAACTGTATTTCCTGTGTCTGCCTTCTTCTTTATGACCACAACTATGAGGAGAAATGAAGCAGACATAAATTAAACATTGCAGTGTTACTGGAAAACTAACATCAATACCGAGAAGTTTCCTTAAAACAAGAAATTCGCCTTGTTCAGAGCGATCTTGCAAATCACGAAGATCAAGTGCTTCAATCCAAATCAGGCGCAGATTCGGGTCAGCACTCATGCCTGTTGGTGCAGCTGCAACAACACTCAAATTTATCAAAGAAAGCAATGTTGCCCTTTGCAGAATATCATAATATAACTACTGTTCGTTAATTTGGTTTTGCTTTAGCGATTTTCATACGAGACTATACAAAGGATATCAAGACCGCCTGGAGGACAATCGTTGTGTCTAGCTCAAGTTAGTGATGTTACTGGGATGCTCTCGCACTCTAAGTACAGCTATGCCAGACCCTCTTCACTAGTAGATACTGTTGTTCAGAACTGACAGTGGAAGCGGTACTACATAGCGGCGACGATTTAACGAAGCTAAAAAAACTTGAATTGTTAAAATCAGTGCCGAAAACTTAATTTATTTCCAAATATTCATAAATATTCCACAGTTACTGGTAAAAAGATCAATGGAGAGGCGAATTTTTCAATGCCAGCAAGCTGCAACGAAATCAAAGACAAGTCGCAATCACGTTCTAGCAAGAAGGGCAGTACCGGTCGTAGGTGCCCTATGAGGATTAAAAGTTTTACAATATAAATGTGTGCCAGGAAGAGAAGCCGGAATGGTCAAGTGATAAGAATGATCAATAACAGACGTGACGAATCGAACAACTGAATGATAACCACGATTTGTTAAAAGAACAATACGAAAGCAGCCAGGTATTCTGGACAGGTCCGCCCAATTCGAATATTTGATGTCATATGAAAGCACAAGACCTAGACTGATGGAAAAATTGCCCGCATGGGGATCCAAACTACGAATTATCATCTGTTGCAATATACCAGAAACTTAATTTTAATAAGCTCTCGGCAAAGGAATGTCAAAATTGCCAAAATGCTGACCACTTAGAGAAGCAGCGTTGGTCAAAACAACTACGATTCAACACGGGGCCGTTTAAAATATCAAGAACCAACAAATATTAGGAAGGATTTATTCTTGCAAAAAATGAATGACTTAAAAGCGTAGAAATTGAAATGCAACCTGGCGCATCGGGAGGAGACGCGATATCCCGATTCAATTCGTCCTCGAAATTTCGCGGTGAAATTGTGTCGGCTCTAAAAAGAAACAGTAAATGAAAGAAAAAATTTGTATAAAAAAAAGCAACTGCTTGCGATCAAGGCAAGAAGGCATTTCAAGATTCAGGCCCAGCCAAACAACAGCCGAGCTTATTTTTCTTTAAACTTACAAGCACTTGGCAATTCAGAAGAAAAGAGCCAGAGCCATTTCAACATCTAGCGAAAGCCATTAAACGGAAAAAAAATCCAATAATGGCAAACCTGGCCAACAAAAATTTGCACTTAACAGCACTCACTACCTTT